TCTCGCTCCCCTCCATCTTCCCTCCCCACCCATGCGCCTCCCGTCTCGCTCCCCTCCATCTTCCCTTCCCAACCCCGTCCACCTCCACATCCATCTTCCGTCCCCGACAACGCATGCTTTGTTTCGCTCTTCCGCGGCACTAGCGACTAAACGAGAACCCAAGCATCGGAGATGCTTTTGGGAAAAAACATCCCAGTAAGTCCAAAGAGGTTAAACTGGTGCGTTCGGGTAGTCGGACGCGTTTCACCTTCCAACTTCCAGGACTTGTTGTTCACATGTGTTGTGTTCAGAGCCTTTTGAAGCTTCCAACGCACTGCTCAAACTGGCGTGTTTATGTTTTTCCAAACATGAATTAAACTGCTGCGTGGACCCACTGTCACCCACTGGGTGCTGCTGCTTTCTATAGCGTGACATGTGCCTTCCGAGCGCAGCTTTCAGGAGGAGGAGGACCAGCTGCGACCAGCCGACAGCCCAGCCGTGACCGTCGCGTGTCTGAGGCGGTGGAGTATCAAGCGGACGTGAACCAGTCGGGCTACGAGCTGCTTGGTGCACACGGCCACCGGGAAGTCGGTAATGGAAAACACTAAAGGTGGTGGGTGAACATCGAGGTAGGGGAAGGAACCTTCTCACAAACGGAAGGGAAGTATGGAAGATCTGGGATAGAAGAGGAAAGCTTCTTGTAGCTGGACCCTCCAAGTTGAGGGTTGTTGGACCCTAACAGGTCTCAATTGGTGACCTGTCGGAGGGTCCTGGTATGCTTCTTGTGTTTTTTCCCCAAGCAGTTTACTGTTAGGGGTTCTCAATTCTTTCTTAAGATGTGTCCGCCCTTTGTGTCACTGCTGGTGTCCGCCCTTTTGCTGGCCATGTAGCATTTCTATTCATTTGTCTCCCAGGTCTGTCACTGCTGGTGTCCGCCCTTTTCCGCTGGCCATGTTTTTGTCTCGGTCATTAGCCGATTCACAAACCAACCGATCAGGCAACTACGATTCAGAAACCAAAACAGCCGATTCAGAAGAAACCGATTCAGAAACCAAAATGGCCGATTCAGCAACTACGACTCAGAAACCAAAACAGTCCGATTCAGAAACCAACTGGTCCGATTCAGGAACCAAATGAGACGATTCCGAAACCAAATGGGCCGATTCAGAAACCATAAGAGCCGACTCAGCAACCAAAAGAGCCGATTCAGAAACCAAAACAGCCGATTCAGAAACCAACACGGCAGATTCAAAAACCAAAACAGTCGATTCAGACTGTTCAGAACTAAGCCAAGATAATAGCGTTCCATGTGGATGCAAACATTCAGTCAAGTAAGAAGTAGTGGTGGACTGCAGGTGGGGTGGGGGGGTGGGGGGGAACCATGGCCAAGATAATAACGTTCCATGCGGATGCAAAGGGATTTTACACTCATTCATATATGAGTTAACTTGTATCAACAGCATCTGGCTGAACAGAGTGGAGGGTAGGAGCAGTGTGGGGTGGTGGGGGGGTGGGGGGTGGGGGGGATCTTGGCCAAGACGAAAAACGTTCAAGGGCTCTTGCATTCATTCAAGTAAGAATTTGTTTGTCAACAGCATATGGCTGAACAGAGTGGAGTGTAAGAGGAGTGTGGGGCCGGGGGGAATCATGGCCAAGATAACAACGTTCCATGTGGATGCAAAGGGCTTTTAAATTCATTCAAGTAAGAATTGGTGGCGGACGGCAGGACGAGTGTGGGATCGGGGGTGGGGGGGAATCATGGCCAAGATAATAACGTTTCTCCTGTTGCTTCGCAGAAAGATTTTGCATCGGTGGCCGGTGGCACTACCACCACCAACTACTACTACTACTACTACCACGACTACTACTACTACTACTAATAATAATAATAATCCCCGCAGCTTGTTACTTCTCCCCTGCCGGGATTGGAGCAGTGATCTTAAACACAGCTTCTGACACCAGAATCGTTCAAGAGAGCTTGGTCAGTGAGTGGACCCAGACGGTGGGAGAGCAATTGATTTGCCAGGTGGAGTTGTTCGCTGTGGCCCTCACCCGCTGGCAGCTCAAAGACATCCTCATGTACAGGAGGGTACTGTTGTTTGTGGATAACGACGCCGCCCGAGGCGCACTGATAAAAGGCCGGTCATCCAGTAGGACTATGGATCTTTTGCGCAAAGCTTTCTATGCAGCAGACGCCTGGGACCCGTGCTTCTGGTGGATTGAGCGAGTCCCATCCAAGTCCAATCCTGCGGACGATCCATCACGAGGTGCCGGATATGAGAGCTCCATCCTTTGGGAAGCTAGGCTAGAAAGAGAATTCGGAGCCCAGCGGATGTTGTTGGACTGGCTCTCGACCTCAGCGTGACCAGACGGCCCTCGATGAAGAAGGGGGGGAGGCGGATCGAGGGGCCAGAGCCTCAAGCTGACAGACCGTCTTACCCCTGATGCTTGAGAAAAAGAGAAATTAATGTAAAGATTATCTCAAAAATATAAACAGAATTTGAAGATATAATATGATGAAGTCTTTCTGGTAAACGTTGCAAAACTATATACAAAGACAAGGGAGGTGAGCGCCCGGATTTACGGTAGACTTAAGTTTTTGCAACCTGATCCCGTAAATGCCGTTCGTTGACAACGATGTAGAATAACATATCGACCAAACTGTGGTGGAAGTATGAGAAGGAGCGTTACACGAAGTTGATGTTCCTTTCTCAGAAGAACCACAAACGGTAACAGCGATGTTCATCAGAGAGCAGAGCGGGTTGAGTAGTTATTCGCAATCGTGATAAGGAACAGGCAGCGGCGAAATGCTGGCCTGCCGAACCCTGTGATCTGCCGCCACTGGAAACCACAACTCGGCTTCTGAGCCAGCTGGTAGACAACGAGACCTCCACCGTCAAGACGCTGTACAGGTTCAGGACATGGCTCCTCATCTTCAATGTTGGGCCAGGAGTCAGCGGTCCGCGTCGTCAGCAGCACAGGATGCAGCAGCCTGCAGCCAGTTGCCATCCTGACCGCCAAGATCGCCCAGGCAGTCATCTCCGAGCTACGGTTCTGGGAGACTGGCGATGAGGCCGACGGTGGCCGCGTAACCAAAGACGACCAGGACCTCCGGAACCTGGCCGTCACTCTGGTCGAGAACAGGCTCGGCTGGAGTCCAACCCTTCGCTGACCGTCCGTCTTGTCTCCCTTCTGTTTCCTTTTTTCTCCCTTCTTGTCTCTCTTCTTGTTGGTCATTGTGTCCGCCTTGTGGGCACTGTGTCCGTCTTGTCTCCCTTCTGTTTCCTTTTCCCTCTCATTTGTCTCCCAGCTCTGGACGTCGCGCTCTGTTCCGATTTTGAAAAACACAATCTGTTTGGGGTCTACGGTGGTGTCATTTTGTTTGGGCGGGGCGCGGCGGGGGTGAAACTCTGGATGTTCCCAATATACCGCTTCCCGTGCAGCTTGCGAGGTGTTCACCGATTGGGGCATGGGTACAGCACTGAACAAATATTAACAGGGCCTCGAAGGAGTGCACAATTCGTGCCACATTTGGAACATGGATATATAGGAGTAGCTGCTTTTTGACCGAGTACGAGCTGGGAGTCCAATACATGGTATGACTGTCGTTTGTGTATGTTCCTTGAACCTGTCAAAGCCCGAATTCCGAATGTCTCTTTAATGTTCCAGCGTCTATTATGTTTCTGCGCTTCCCCCGGGGTGGAAATCATTCAGCGGTTGGATGAGCACCAACCGCGTTGGTGAGATGAGGTAACGTGGACGCAGATTGAGAAATCTGTTCCACATGACCTTTTGGTGATTCAGTTCCACACACTTCCACACGTACGAACATGAGCTCTTCCCTTCCGTCGAGAAACACCAACCATCTCTTCTGTCCTTCCTCTCCCTCCGCACTTTCGCTCTCTTCCACGGTCGCACAAGGAAACCATTGACTCTGGCGGTGCGCGGCCGCAACGTTGCTCGCCGGCATGGTGGGGGCGGTGATGGGTGGTGGGTTTCATCAATATAATATATATATATATGATTCAATATGTTGTTTTCAACCTTTACTTGGGATGATTGAACAAACTGACTATATAATATATATTAAGTACGTTACATCAATATGCTTCAAATCAGTTGAAAATCACCCGCAAGTGGTGAATCCATGGGCAGATGAACATCCTGGAATCATATGAAGCTGGGTGCGCTGGGTGTGGTGTCATGTGTGGGAGAGTATAGATCGAGGCATGGCAGCATCCATGCTCGAACGGCGAGGCCTTGGTCCGTCTTGACACCAATCCTTCGCACATCTCCACGCCAACCCTCATACCACAGAGTCCTGTCAAGGATACACTTTGCCTCACCAACATGGAAGTGGAAAAAAACCGTTTGTCGTTTATATTCCGGAAAGTACATCGTCTTCCTAGGGACAATGCTATCCACTTCCATGTCAGTGAGTTCGTCAGAATGTATTGCGCCAGTCCTGGGTTGGACCCGCTATTCCTTGAGTGGAGCGCCTCCTAGGTGCTGCCTCCGCCGAAAAGAGGTTCAGCAGTAGCAGTGAAAACACTGGAATGCTGCTGCAAGGAACGCAGACTCTCCGTGTATGGATATATACATATGCCACCCCATTGACCCCTTTTCAACCACCCCAATTATAAGCCATACATGGAATGTTTGGGTACAGGCCAAAGGCCTTAGCTACCGCTGGCCGAACCCTTGAAGAGACATTGCTGCCAATGGCAAAATTTGCAGTAAAGTTGTATAACGTGGAGTTACTTGGTTTTTGTAGAACACGGTTAGCGCCTCCACTGCGTGTGTCCTGTGGATTTTACATGTTCATGCCCCTGCCGACAGATGAGACCACAGAATGGGCAGCCTACAAGAAGCGGAAAAGAAGAACATGTCCTCCGTGCTAAGGGTCTCTTTTTAACTGCCAGGGTATTTCTTTATCCGTTGATCAACAGGTGATGCATATAGCATAGTTCTTCCCAGAATCTTCGTGGTGTGTCCAGAACGCTCATCTCATGACCCTAAACCTGCCAAACCAAGCGGACGATCGTCCAGAGCCCTGTTTCTTGACCTTTTCTCAGTTGGCCGCTGTGAATGCCTTGCTGCATTTGGGCGCCACCGTGGACAAACAGGCGAGCCGCGCGAAACATGGAAGCAACACGTGGACGTCCACTTTGCATGGAAACGTGGGACTGGCCATCTTGTAAATCTTGTACAATACATTTGCATATACTGTAAATGATACATATACCAGATATGCTTGCACTTTTGCCTGGATTTTCTTAGGATTCGTAATGTGTCTTATAGTTTTCCCATGGGTGAATCCCCTTCTGCGGAACATGTGTTATTTGTTTCCCCGGTTGCCTAAGCAACTCAAAGTTTTGATATCCTTGAACTCTGACCTTTGCAACATGTTTATTTCAACAGCAAGAGTAGCAACCACTTGTTTGGTCACCCACCTCTTAAGCCGTAGGAAACACATCACATGACAAGGACATCTATGCATTGAAGCCTAGTCCCCAATTTGTCAAGCACTTCAGGAACCAGGTTGCCTACACTACACGCACCTTGGCCAACTGGAAACTTAGACTGAATACCTACAGGGCAGTCATGGCCGTTTGGCAAGAAACATTCATTCCAGTACCCAGCATCATATCAGATAACCTTATTGCGGTTTGGAACAACTTGAACATCATCTTGATACAGTAGATTGGCATCACATGGCAGCACTATCCTGGTACCTTTCTGGTCGCCTCCATATATATGGTATCTGGGCAGTGGTTTCAGACCTCTACTTGGGATGATTATGCGGTTCGTGAACCTCTGCCCACCCATACCACCGAGCACAGTCACTTCCAGAGTACCTCTTGTGGCATGACGCGTGCACCCTAAGGGTTGTGCACATCACCTTTCACAGATTAAACCCAATGACAAATAAGTGAGTTGAAACCACAAACCAGATATTACTTACTGATTCCCCTTTTTTGTCTCACTTGTCTTTCTATCGGCTTCCGTGACATGGCACACCGCGCGGGACGGTAGGCCCTGTCAGCCTTGCGCACGATCTCGGATCGCCCAGTGCGGGAGGAGATGGAGGCGCCGGATGTCGCATCCGGAAAAGGCATTTGGAACTTCCTGACCCTGGGGCTCCAACCATATCTTCAGAAGGTGGGCACAGACCCCCCTGGCACCCACCCCTGTCCCATCTTCGAAGTTGGAGCCCTATAGGCCAGCGTGAAGTCCTCGCGAGTTTGAGTTTGTCCTCGAAGTCAATCGGATGAATTGGGTGATGGAAAACTTTCACTCCCTGAGATGGTACAAGCTGTGATGTCACTGCACGTGATGTCGCCCATGGAAGTGCGTGGGTGGTGGAAAAAGAAACACTGCATGGATCTCCATGGTGTTGTTTTTTTTGCCATTTCCAAGAGAGGTTAAGAGATTTTATGGGATGTGAGTGATGTGGTTCTCTGGGTTGTGATGTCAGTGATATCCTGGCAATGCAGCTTTGTGCAGGCATTACGGTACAATTAATAAATAGAGCTTTTTTTTCTGAGTTTTCTGCAGTTGGCAAGTTCCCATCGACTCATCAGATACTGTACCTTCCTCAAACATTGACCCTGAAATATGTTCCGACGTAAGTACCGCTTGTTTGAGACCCTGTGAAACGACCTGAAATGACCAGCCTGCATGAAAACAGATGTATGACTAGTTTGAGTTCGATGTACTCGCCCATGTATGGCACCAGGACAAGTTCCTGGCGGCGGTCAACCGCGGGGAGTGCTCCCCGCAGCTCAAGCAGCTCAAGGAGACACGGTTTTTGGGCGAAGCGGTGGGGTTTACAGGGCGAACTGGTTTTGCTGATTTGGAAGATGTTTACTCCATCCGAAACAATCACAGGAATGCTGATCCAAGTTGGATGTCATAATTTTATGGGTTGTGGTTCGGAAGATGTTCTATTGATTTTCATGTTTGGATTTTTTTGGGTTATCCCAATCGATTTATCTAAACTAAATAGTGATTGGGCGGAGACTATGCACATTGTGCATGTTTGAAGACATGATTTTGGAGGTCAATATAGACAAACAATTTGGTAGGTTCTTTTTCATTTTTGAGATGTTGGCCTATAACACCTGACCATGGGATACACTGAGTGGGTTGTCGTGAATGACAGTTTTTTTACATTACGACAACGGATTTTCTCGCTTCCATGTGATCATTCCGACTTGTCTCGATTCATCTCGATTCGTGTTGGAACACAGAGAGTTTCAAAGCAATGCTGTTTCATGTGACACATGCATTCCAGATGAGTTTTCAGTGGCCATCAGAGGTGGCCAAACTAAGCAGTTAACCTTTTGATCTCCTTGTGGTTGTGGAGGATTTGTGAGAGATGCATGCCAATCTTGTAGAGATCCGGAACGGTCAGGTAATACAGTGTAACCATGTGTAACCCATGTTTTTCTTTCGGGTCATTCATGTCCCATGTTTTGAGGGTACAACCTGGGCTCCAGGTGCTTAAGCTGTTTTCATTCAGAGGTTTGACCTGGCCCATGTCGAACGACTGCCGTCAGGATGTGAGCTTGTGGATCTTAGTGCAGAGTGGCAACGTGAAGGTGCCACCTACGCCGCGACCGTGGGAACCGGCACATCCGGCCGGCACATCCACGCGAGTGGACGCAGCAATCCGAAACTGGTGGATTCTGGGTTGGAATCCAACATTTGGATGGTCAAACCTCTTACCTGACGTCGACCTGCACGATGTCACATGACATGTCACCAATTGGAGGTGCTTTTTGGGACGAGTGGAAGCCAGTGACATCTGGCTTGTCAGGCTGAAATCCATTTTTACCGCTTGGTCCAGTGACTGCCTAGCGAACCAGTGCCGCCTTCGAAACGATACGGTATGACTGGACCCTCCAAACCCCTCCAGGCACCTACATCAAAGTGTCTCCAATCACCTGCATAAAGAGGGCGCCAGTGGATCCATAGGGAGTCTTTGATGGGACCCCAGGTCCCAGGACGAGTTCGACTTGGAGTCCTCCGACCCATTCGCCATGCGAGAAGATGTTGCGAAAACACCCAGCTGGGTGAATCAACAGCAGCTCCTCGATTTGTTTTAGGATGATTGTCTATTTCTCCGTAGCCATTTTGGCTCAAGCGGTTGACGCATGTTTCACCCATAACATGTGCGCCACTGGCGCAGAACCTCTCTGCGTGGCGTGTGGAGCGACCACACACCTCCACAAGGACTGCGATGATCCTGTCTGGTGTCCGTTGTGCGGGTCATCTGACCCTCTGAACGATGGAAAGCACGCCAACGCAGGGCGGTGTGGAGCAGAACTTGCTCCATCCCAAGAGTGGTTCTTCGGATGGGGGTCGTTGCAGTTGCGACGTTGGCCACTCCCGCCGGGATGCCTCTCACACAAGTGTAGAAGGTTGGCTTGGAAAGCCTTCTTCACTGTCAAGGGCAAGCGGCGGCTCTTCAAGATGCCCTACTGCTGTCGGCGCTGCATGCACTCCAGTCAAGCACGCAACAGAGTCGTGCCATGCGAAGAGAAGCACGGGGCCTACTGTACATCTTGGAAGCGTGACGCAGAAGCTCGCAAGTCGAAGAAGAAGAAGGGGAAGCTACGCAAGAAGCCAAGCAAGGCATCTTGCTGAGGAACCTGACTCTGAGAAGCGCTGCTTCTTCAGCCGAGCCTTCTGGGCTTGGCTTGGCAAGATCAGCATCATCACTGTTGGCTTCTGCAGAGCCCTGTGCGTTCGACACATGTTCACCAACACTTCAGGCGAGTTCGAGTGGACGCTTCACAAGAACAGCTACCTGGAGGGGTTCTCCAACCCCTTCTACAGAGCTGCTGATGACCATCTCTACGATCCCGACCCATGGCACGACCCCTTGGGAGATCTTCGGTCCTGGACCAACTCGCAAGAGCAGGAAGATGCCCGCGTCTGGCACAGGAACAGACGCGCTCTTCTGACCTTCGAAGCCTTCTTGCGTTGGAGAAGGAGTTCCCACTGGAGTGTGTCTGCAGAGCTTCATCTTCTGGCATCTTCTGGCTTCGTGACGGGATGTCAGCACACACCTGCATGGCTGGGACCATCATGAGGCCACTGGACGGTCGCTCATGCTTCGACACTGCTCCACACTACTGTCGGTACCGACACTGGCCACGTTGGTGGTGGACTTCTGAGCCCACGATGGCTCAACGCAGGATCTCCATCATGGCCAGAGATGGTTCTAGAGTTCTGCGGCGACAGCCAGCTGACTTCCCACTCGGACATGTTGCTTGGCGTAGGATCATGGAAGAACATCCTCGTGAGTACATGGGGATCACTCCGCTCTGCACAGTCATCTCCCATGATGGTGGTCTAGTCTTCAACGCCATCACCCCGCACCTCTGTCACTGTAGTGTGACTGCTGCCTTCCATCTCCTCTCTTCTGCCTTGAGGACCAAACCTAGTTGTACTACTTATAAGTAGGTTTTAACATGGTTTTAACATACCCCTTACTTGGGTCCCTATGAAATGATCCTCCAGGAGTCTTATGAAATGATCTCCGGCAGTTCATTACATAAAAACAGAAGTACGTAAAAAAGACAAAACAAAATAATGACAGTACTAACAATGTCTGAGACGAATTCAGCTATCATTATATAGAGATGAGGGGGTGGATGATGAAACATGTTGAGACTAAATTTAAGATCTTAATGAAACCTGGAGTAGATCATTTTAGAGAGATGTGTTTTGTGTGTGTTTTTTTGTTGATTGAAGGATCTGTTGCTGGAGTTGTCATTTCATAAGAGTCATGGATCCAGCTTTTGAATCATTTTATAAACCTCTCATGTTGATCGCCGCGCCTTCCTGTCAACCTCAAAAAGATATATAAATAATGTTAATGTTGCCAGTAAAGATTTGCTAAAGCAATTGAAATACATATGAAGACATCAAACAAATCATAACAAAGCAAGATATGACTTAATTCAAAATATCGCAGCTATATGAACATTGTTCGAATCTGCAAGTGGTTTTTTCTTTATGATTTTTAGACTATATTATTGAAAGCGGATATTGTTCTTCTAAAAAAATAACATATTTCATCAAGTTTGAAGTGGTAGCCCAAAGATACCTGAACCATTTGGGCCCCCAGGGTTGCTGACCTA